AGCAGAATTGAGTGCAAAGTTGGTAAAGTTACGTCGACGGTGTGTCTGGCTGTGTAACAATTCTGCAATGTTGCGTGAAAAGTTGTAAATATACGTGTATAGTTGGCAAAGTTGCGTGCGGAGTTGGAATTACGTGGCACGTGTGTGTTGGTAAATGACATACAAAGTTGGTAAAGTTTGGTGGAAAGACGCAAGCTCGTAAAATTGCATTACTAAATACAAAACATCCATTGGTCAGAGGACGTTTCATTATAGATGGGTAACCCCATGAGCGGATTTAGAGGGATCCGAGGGGGCCGCGGCCCCCCATTTTTAACAACCAACAGTGCTTCGCGCCATTGGCGCTCGCGAACATAGCCGTCGGCCAGCTTAACCCCCTATTCCAGAATCCTAGATCCGCCCCTGAACCATGTGGAATAACTTACAATCCCATATCAGAAATTCAGTCTCATTAGCATTTTTAAAAAAAACTTACAAAATATGTCTTAGTGAAAAATTTGTTGTAAATGCCTCAAGCCTATAGCAAGTATTTTGTTTCTACAGAAATAGAAATAGTTTATGCATTACTAAATACAAAACATCCATGGGTCAGAGGACGTTTTTAAGATAACTTACAAAATATGTCTTAGTGAACAATTTGTTGTAAATAAATGAATGTTTTTGTTAAACAATTATTGAATGAATGTAAATCTACGGGGTATGACAACGTCAATGCTAAACTATTAAGTTTGGGTGCGTCTATTGTTTCTGTTTCGTTCACACGTATTATCAATCATGGCTTTAATTGTTCAATTTTTCCACAGGTTCTTAAATGTGCGCGCGTAGTTCCACTTTATAAAGGTTCAGGAAAGATTAGTGACATGTCATATTACAGGCCAATTTCGATTTTGCCAGCAATTTCTAAAGTGGTTGAGAAGCATGTTCATGTTGATGTTCATTTATATAAGTATTTGTGTGAACACAATCTTCTGTTTGAAAATCAGTTTGGTTTTAGAAAAAGCATTTATGTCAAACGACACTACTTCGCTTGGTAACATGGACGAAGGTAACATTTCAGGTGTTTTTTTTTAAATCTGTCTAAAGCCTTTGATCTCGTAAATCATGATTTACTGCTTCGTAAATTGTTCCTATATGCTGTAGATACACACTCTTTAGATTGGTTTAAATCGTACCTGTTTAATCGAAAGCAGGTTGTAAATTACTTTGGCAAGGTTTCTGACGTAGATGATATTTCAGTAAGAGTATCACAAGGTTCTATACTAGGTCCCTTACTTTTTTTATCAATATCAAACTCGTGGTGCAGCACATCAGGTTGCTTAGACTTTTATACAAATAATGATGTTGACTACGAGTTGTGAAAATGTCAATATTAAAATCTCCTAATAAAAAAAGTTATTTTTTAAGTAAATAACCCCTTTCAATGCCACTCTTAATAAGTAAATCAATATCAATATATGTCTGGAGGACGATAAACACCAGCTAATAAAAAACTATAATTTGGCATTGAAATCTTAATCCACATAATCTCTAACTCTGCAGATTCAAGATCTAGCCCTCATAAGAACAGATGTAGGCAATTAAAACATCACCTGACCTGCCTACTCTATCTTTTCTTTCTATGAGCATACCGGGTATATAAAGTGCACTTGATCAATTTTATTTGATAATTGTTCCAATAACCTATCAACATACCATGATTATTAGATTTAGAGTTTAACTGACCAGATTCAACTTGAGTAGCAGAATGTACGGCCTCCTGAACAACAGGCCACACCCCGAGTAGCTAGCAACAGTGTTGGTACAGTTCTTTTGCTTGTGACCTCGACTATTACATTTCCCGCAGACGACAGGAGTCTCAAATCTGAATACATGGAAAGTGTGTCCCTCTTCACCACAGTGATAACATGTAATCACATGACGAATAACATTGCCATAATCCCTTCCCCTGTATTGATGGTCGATAGAGGGCGTTTCATGGTCATTGCCAACACGATAATTTCGACGGTAATAATTATTCTCCAAATAACCACGGGGATAGTTGCTGTGTGCATTAGTGTTAAATTTTGTCGGTCACCTAACCGCACAGCTGCGTGGATTATATTAAATTAATCCGAATTGGCGTCTATTTCATGTTTTTGGATGTTTTAAAAACGATAACGCTTACACAAGTACCAACTTGACCTATGGCCTCTACATACTTGGAGTAACACTACGATAATTTAACAGCAATTTTCTATGGAACTAATTATTATGATATCACAGTTACAATCCCGAATAAAACTACCATCTTTGCAATCGCTTTTCACAACCTTCTAAGCAGTTCGTTGTCGATTTTTCAATTGACTGTTCTGATAATCTGCTTAAATATGAGGCTTTCTCGGAACATTTACTTAATGTATTTGGAATTCAACTGCGGGCTTGTCATGATAATAGCTTAGGTTAAATATACAAACAACTTCGCCAACATTTCCTCCGCCTTTTCCAACATTGCACGCTGTTTTCTAACATTTTACAGTCAGCTCATGTTAACATTTATAGGCTGCTTTCAACTGGATTTTATAAAAAATTTCGACTTTACAACTGCGCGTTTCTATATGCCAACTACTTATTTCATATATACAAATACATCTAACAACTTTGCAATAACTTTGCAATCACTTTGAACAACTTTGCACGGTTCGTTAACAGAGTAAAGCCTACTATGTGCCGACAGCATCTTCAAATTAATCGTGAAAATTAGAAGGAAATTGAAAACTTTCCATTAATTAAAAAAAGGTACAAAAATGACACCACTTTTCACTATAAATGATTAACATCACAGTAAGTAAAAATGCAGGAACGATGCTTTATATCTTTTCCAATTGTGTGATGAAACAAAAATTATTCCAGAGGGTGTTTACTCAGGGAGTGTCCCATGCAAGTACTAACCACGCCCGATTGTACTTTACTTTAAAGGTTTTGACGGTCACCTAACCACACAGCAGCATGGATTATACAAAATTAAGCCGAATTGGCCGCTATTTCATGTTTTTGGATGTTTTAAAAACGATATCGCTTGCACAAGTACCTTCTAGACTTGACCTATGACCTGTACATACTTGGAGTAACACTTCGATAATTTAACAGCTATTATCGAAATATTTATTCACATTTTCGAACTTGTAACTACGTGACTACTTAATATTATATCACAGGTGACAATCCCAAATGAAACTGCCAACTTTGCAATCGCTTTTCACAACTTTGTAAGCAGTTTGTTGTCGATTTTCCGGTTGACTGTTGTGATAATCTGCTTAAACATGAGGCGTTCTCGGAACATTTACTTAATGTATTCGGAATTCAACTGCAGGGTTGTCATGATAATGACTTAGGTTAAATATACAAGCAACTTCGCTAATATTTCCGTTTTTTTCGAACTTTGCACGCCGTTTTCTAACATTTTAAAGTCAGCTCATGTGAACATTTATAGGCTGCTTTCAACTTATTTGATAAATTTGTTCGACTTTATAACTGCGCGTTTCTATATGCCAACTACTTATTTCATATATACAAATACATCTAACAACTTTGCAACAGTGCTGGCTTTGACAGACATGTTTAGATAAAATGTTTCAGTCAAGTTCCAAACATGTCCCAAACATTCCCTAACTGTGTGTTTTTGTAGCAAACACATTCCTGCTCCAAAAGTGTGTACATACAGTTGTCCAAAATTTTACTAGTGTCAAACTTGTAGATAAAGTGTTTGACATATGTCTCAGTAACCAGACATGTTTCAGATCTGTCCCAAACATGAATGACAAGAGTTCTATTTGTGAGTAGTCTATACAATCAACTTCCTACAAACATGTTGAAAAGGTATATTTTATTTATTCAAAATGATAAAAGAATACACTAGACATATTCCTTGGAGCTCACTTTTTAATAGAAGATATGAAGAAAAGTGTCCATCACAGACTTAAAAAAATGGTAAATGATAGCCAATAGTTATCGTCCATTGAGAATCCATAAAATAACGACTAAAAACTAAGAATGGATACAAGCTAGACTGAATATGCACTAAAGGTTTAAATTCAAAACATAGTTAAACTATACATGGCTTACCCTGTATATGTAAGGGTGGGCAGATCATAGCATAGGGTTGGCATATCATTACATAGGTGGGGCAGCTCACAGCATATGATCTGAAAATCACAGCATAGTTTGGGAAGATCATAGCATAGGGTGGGGTGGGGATATCATTACATAGGTGGGGTAGATCACAGCATACTGTAGTGTGGGAAGATCACTGCATAGGGTGGGAAGATCACTGCATAGGGTGGGAAGATCACTGCATAGGGTGGGAAGATCACTGCATAGGGTGGGGTTATCATCTATGCATACAGATTAACTATATATACAATATATAAGTTTGATAATATTAATATTTAAAAAAAAATGGAAGTTACTCATAATGACTTTACTTTAAAAGAAACAATATAAAGGATTTTAAAAGCAAGTGTAATGTAGAGTGTGTATTATGTACAGCAACACATGTTGAAGTTATCCATGCTGTTAATATAAGTCACAAACTCGGCTGTCACTCTGGATTATTCAAATTCCAAATTGTTTTTCTTATGAAATTATCATTGTTTATAGTTCCTAAAATAAATTATCTTAAAAAGCACCTTGTTGTTTTTTGACTTACAGAAGTCCCTCCCACATAACAATGCTAGACAATAGTGGACCACAGTGCCAATGTTGTGACAGTGCTGACGAGACATTTCTTTCTCATATGCTTTTCCTTCATTAACATTATGGGTTATGATTAACAAATTACATTTAAATAAATGAACATAACGATACAGCAAGTATCAGGTTACAGTTGAAATGTTCCAGGTTTCAAATTGAATTATTGTTTAAAAACTGAGCAACTGAGTAAAAATTTAATGTGAACACTTTATTAATTTACAGAATCAACAAGGGGAGTTTGAATGCCAACAGGATGATATTGTCACATCATTATTAAATGTCTCCATGAAACCATAACTATTGTTACCTCAGAACATTAATATATACATCAATATTCAAATTTAATATTTACATTTGAATTCTATTTTACATTATTATTATTTCTAGTTTATTTCTCAGTTGTCATAGTTACATAGAAATAACAGTACTGTTCAACAGAAACCAGCAGAAATCCATCTACTCAATCATCTCTTGTGTTTCCGTCGAGCTCTCACTGCTCGATACGAGTCTGGAATGAATTCTCCATCATGTGGGTCCATTCCAAGCATTCTACGTAGTCGCTCTATCTCTTGTTTGTATCTGAAGGAAATTTAACAACAAAAATTGTCAAATAATTCTACAGATATACGCGGTGGATGGAAATATTGTATACAACACACTAGGAATCACTGATATGAACAACATGTTACCATAAAGGTAATCAGTGAAAGCAGTGAGTGAGTGCCACTGTGTTGTATGTTGCACTTTTACCAATTAAATACTCTAAATATAAATTCTGATGCCCTTTCTCTAGTCTTGTTGTTTATTATCTTTTACCAATTAATTAAGTGATTTGCACATTATGGAAGAATGCCATGACATTTGTAAGATATAGAAGTTATTTTCACAAGTGATGCAGTGTATTGGTGTAGTGTTCACATAATAGAATGGTTACAATGCATTACGTTTCAGTACACAAATAAGTAAACAACACTGCTGGCATATGCCTAAGACATGTACAACAAAATAAGAAGAACCACCACTTGACAATCAGAATGTAAATAAGTGCTATATAAAATACAGTGAGGAACTTTAAAATTAAACTATATAAAATTTTAATAAAGTGAACCAAATTATTAAATAATAACTGTACATACCTGACAAGATGTTTATCAATGTAATCTTGACATTCTGTTAACTGTTCTTCAGCTATTGTACAGCGTGTAAGCAATGCAGATCTCTCAGCCTCAAGTTCTTGCTACAAAACAATAAGAAACAAATTGAAATTGACAACTTATAACTATTTAGTACTAAAGCTTACTGTATATTATAGTGTGACATGCATGTAGACATATTGTAAGAGATAAGAAACAATATGACTTGTCAAATTAAAGAAAGCCAACACAAAGAACTCCTGTATGCTGTGAGGCAAAGATTTGACATATGACACAGATATATACTGGATATCTAAAATTAACTACAAATTAAAATTACACTATTAATAAACTAACTAAAAAATATAAATCAATAAACATGTAGGTACAAAAAAGATACCTTAGCCTCAACAGATCTGTCCAAAAGATGCTTTCACGTCATCAAAAATGCACAGATCTTTCCAGAAGACACCTTAACCTCATCAAAAAATGAACAGATCTGTCCAGAAGAGAATTAATCTTTGCATCACCATCCAAGGTATAGTTGTAGTGAATACGAAAGCCATACAGCTAAGATTTTTAAAAAGATTCTGACAATAACAGATAATCAGTATTTTTTGTTATCACGAATGTCAACATTATTTTTTTACAGTAAAAGTTTCAATTGTTTGTGAAGCAAATTTTAGAAACAATTCATGGCATTTCTCTCTTGGTTGATGCTTAAATTAGAATATTGATGACAATATTCCCTATATCTTGCAAACCACTGTCATGACTATAGTATTTAGACAAAAATTTATTGAAATACAGCAATTACAAAAAAAGCCATCATAAGATCATCTTGGTTGATGATTTAAATTTGGCACTCGCCCAGAATTATTATCTGTCCTCCAAAACATGGGCCAGGGCAGGATTTCAGGCAAATATAGTATATATCAGTATCAGCAGGTTATGTGTGTATTATATTATGTGATGCATTGTGACATCACAACAATACAGACCTGTGTATTGAGAGTGAACTCTCGTAACTGTTTTCTCAAAGATCCCCAGTTGGCCTGCTCATCAAAACTAGAAAAAAGTTAAATAACAATCAAATTTAAAAACTACAAATGTAAAAAAAATGTGAATGTTAAAAATAATATTTGATTTTAAAATATAACACAGACTTGAATCTGATGTATATATAAAGTTTAAACATGATGATGATGATCTCATAATTTCTGATGTTTGTACCACGTTTAAACAAGTCTTCAATTTCTGACCAATATCTGGTTGTAGAATGGCAGAGATGGTTAATTTTGATGTGTGATTAGCACTCATATGAATATCTCATACGAATAATCATAATATTTGACATTTTTTTTTCAAAGCCAACATTGGTGACACTAATGTCACAAACTCTTTCACATTTTATTTTGACAGATTACCAATGTGATAAATTCTTGATTCACAATGATGCCAATTCACAGGTTTGTTCTAATATAGATTTCACAGTCAAAAGATGGATGTAATTATTTGTAGTTTTTCAATTGATATCTTAAAGTGTTCAGAACTTTCAACTTGGTTTGTAATCAGAATTTAACAGTACATATTTTATTCTTAGGCTCCCTAATAGAAACAAAATAACATGAATTGAATTCAAAATAGTACAGCAATAAATCTAAGCTAAACTTTGAGGGGAAAATAGTGGGAAAAGTTTTTTTTTTACTACATAATAAAATAACATATTGAATTTTCCCCTTAAATACCATCTCCTTCACCTAATGATGATTTGTACTAGATGAATAATAGATGCACACTAGGAGATTCATCATACCTGACATTTTTTTTCATTCCCTCTGGTGATCTGAGGTGACTCAATTCTTCTCGTAATCTGTTAATCTCCCTCCTGTTCGCTGATTCTAATTCAGTGTCAGATATTCTCAAATCATATTCGTCAGGACCAAAATCTACATTTGGTATCCTCTGTGATTCCACCTGCTCCCTCATTAACCTGGATATATGATATGTAACATGCTATGGCTCAGTAATCTAGGGAGTCTAGACATGCTGTATCTCAGTAATCTAGGGAGTCTAGACATGCTGTAACTCAGTTATCCGGAGAGTCTTAGATATCATTGTCAGCCCTAATAAGGTGATTCATCTGCAAGGTGATGGGGTTGGCTTGAAAGACAGTTAAGTTGCCAGTAAATGATTGAGCCTGCATTTGATCACATCTGCCTGATGCCAAGATCAGTAAGAAAAGCGTCTTTTTTGACCAATCAGCTATGAAGGCGCATTATTTGGGTCATCACCTTGGGATGTGTTCCATGAGTGAGTCAATACTTTGAATGAATGCCTTCACAGAGTTGCCCTCAGTGATATGTTATCCTGACTGAGAACAATACAGTGTTGATAACAGACTATGTATTCCATACCGTAGAGAGCACTTTCTATTAGTCTATTAGTAACGATAGTAACCACAGAAATGGAGTCCAGCCCTGGCTATCAATGTCATTGATGTGTTGTATGACAGAGACAGTTTCTTGGAAGCGATATATCAGTAGAAATAGAGGGAACACAAACACATTGGTGTTGTCCAAGCTGATTTGACACCACATCACATTCCAATGCAATTGTAAAGTAGTGTGTGTTATGTACATTCAGTGTTTGGTGTGTCTGAACAGGACTGTGATGATCTATGATATCTGCCACTCAGTGCCATCAAACTTGAATCTGAGACAGTGTATTGGAGATGTTGTTGTGAATCCCCCTGATAAGCTAGAACATCAATTTATGCTGAGCATAGCTAAAACTTCTAGTTATTGTGTCAGATCAGTCATGTGAGCTCCCAAACATATATTTGAACAAGCCATACATGGCACAGTCCTCATTAGTTATCAAATTTAAGATATATAGTTTTGTTTTTGCAATATATAACATAAACATTTCAGAGATATGAATCCAAAAGCTGATGTTTTTTTTAATACTAAAATGATTGACATCTTGTATCTGACTGCCAAATGAGTACTTGTCCATATTGAGAGATCTGCAACAGCATTAATCAGCCATTTTGAATACATGTATAACATGATGTATAATGAATATATACAATTTGAACATAATCACTCAAAGCATGTCAGAGATATGGCTCGAAAAGCATATTCATTAAAACCAAATGGCCGCCAGTCATCCATTTTGAATTTGATCTAAAAAATAAAATGATGTGCATCAGAAACCCATAATGTCTAATGTATGTACGGTACCAAGTTTGAAAGAAAACGCAACCATAAATGCCAGAAATTCTTGATTTTTCATGATATTTTAGCACAAAAATGACCACCATTTGGCCATTTTTAATCACATAGTCAAACCAATATACATGTATCTGTATATCTATGTTATGATGTATAATAAATATATCAAATTTGAACATAATCAGTCAAAACATGGCAGAGATATGGCACTAGAACTGCATTCATTAAAACAGAATGGCTGCCAGTCGGCCATTTTAAATCTGATCTGAAAAATAAAATGACGTGCATCAAAGTCCCTAATGTCCAACGTACATGTATCTATAAAGTTTGAACAAAATCCATCCATAATGCCTGATTTTGATGACTTTCCAGCACAAAAATGGCCACCATTCAACCATCTTGAATCAGATTGTAAAACAAATTGATGTGCATATGTATAATATTATATATGATGTATGTGTGAAGTTTAATTGTGATTGGTCTAGGCATATCTAAGATATAAGTCTGCATGCACAGATGCACGGACGCACAGAGGTCAATCCATAAGTATGACCTTATGATAACCTTATTCAGGTTAATATGATTTTCACTAGAGAAATCCATAGTTTTAATACAAATTAACTACCAGCAATGATCGACAACATTCTGATAGTTGCAGAAACACATATACACAGTAGCAAAGCAGGTTTAATTTAGGAAATTATTTTAGGATTATTTTGAACTAAGAAATCTCAAGTCTGTCAAAATGTAAATATGTTTACCTATAAGCAACTAATAACTCTTCATGTCGTTTGGCAATTCTTGATAATTGACCTTTAAATGACCTTGCAGCATTGCTCAGTTGTTCTTCTCTTATTTTGTGTGATTTTTTTAAATCTGTCAACATGTCTTCCACATAGCGTCTCATTTTAGTTTCATTCAAAGTATCTCCCGGCATGCCACTTCCTCCATCAACAAAATCCTAGAATTGATAAGGTACATTAAAGTATTGCAAGGTCAAGTATACCTATGATGTCATTGCATGAACACAGAGTCTGTTTTATTTATAACAAATATAATTAAATTTTTCCTATGTTTTTTCAAAAATTAATTGATCAAATAAGACATATGGTAAAACAACTGTAGAAGCCAATTAGAGAGTTAAAGGTATAAAATGAACAAATCTGACCGAGGGTCACCCTAAGAGGTCATGAAAGCAATCAGCCTGGACACCTTCAATGAAAAGTCGAAAATGGCATTTTTTATAAATAATGACAAAATTATTCACTAAAAGTAGAAAAATTAAGGTGATAAAACTAGACAATAGCTGTACTCTGTCAACTTTACCTGCATATATATCAATATCATGCACTGTATTAATAGGAAATAAACAAAACTCACAGCAATATCTTCTACATATTTAAGAAGTCTTGATCTGTATTCTTCATTTAAATCTTTCAACTGAATCTGTAATTTGTTATTCTCTATTTCATATTCTCTGCATCGACTAGAAAGTTGAATTAACTCCTGAAAGAAATATACTGTACTGTGGTCAATATCTGGTTATTATAGTATCTACAATCAGCAATATCTGGATCTCATTAATCGTATCATGTTATTTATTCACAATTCAAGATCACTAGCACTTTGACACAAAAAGTGGAAAAATAAATAATAAGAAGGGGACAATAAATGAATTAAATAATGGCGAGGACACCGCTGTGAAAATTGAATGAACAATGAGGAAGCACTTTAGGATAAGAAGGTGATGAATATAATTAAACACTACAGGATAACCCAACTGTGAAAACTCATGGTGGCTTGACATTGTAACTGGTTGGATATGCATATATTGTTTGCTATTTAATATCAAATTTACTCTGTGCGAGTGAACTTATTTATTATTGTTAATACTGTCTATGTTTAAAAAACAGTACATATCACATACCGTAGATTGTTCAGCCACTCTGTGTTGACTTGCTCGAGCAGCTTTTCGTGCATCTTGTAAATCCCTACCAAGGGATATCCTAAAATATATGAACCATTAAATAATGAATGTCCTCTCAGAGATAACAAGTTGTTTGATACATAATGGTAATGGGGCACAGAATATTTGCAGTCTATCAGCTCAGAATACATAGTACATAATAATAGTCTATTAACTCTATTTAGATTCTTGTACTAGGTGTTGATATGTATCACAATTCAAAGGACACTTACAGTTTAGATTCAAGTTTATCTTGTTCTTCATCATATTCACCTTTCATTTTATCAATCTCCCCTTTGTATCTTTGAGAAGTTCCAAATAACTGTAAAACAACATACTACATTTTAAACCACAAATATAATAATATTATAATAATTTTATGGCAATTGCTATCAATTCATAAAACTTATTCCTCTCAGACATCCACCCCAGTCACAATGTTCTATAAAAACATGTCTTTCACCAAATAAATGCTTTGCAGAGTTTCTAATATTTCAACAAATAAAATAATTGAGTCAAA